CGGTGTCATCAGTGAATACCGGTCGGTGTCATCAGTGAATACCGGTCGGTGTCATCAGTGAATACCAGTCGGTGTCATCAGTGAATACCAGTGGGTGTCATCACTAAATACCGGTGGGTGTCATCACTGAATACCGGTGGGTGTCATCACTGAATACCAGTGGGTGTCATCACTGAATACCGGTGGGTGTCATCACTGAATACCAGTGGGTGTCATCATTGAATACAAGTCGGTGTCATCAGTGAATACCGGTGGGTGTCATCACTGAATACCGGTCGGTGTCATCAGTGAATACCGGTGGGTGTCATCACTGAATACCGGTCGGTGTCATCAGTGAATACCGGTCGGTGTCATCACTGAATACCAGTCGGTGTCATCACTGAACACCGGTCGGTGTCATCAGTGAATTCCAGTCGGTGTCATCACCGAATACCAGTCGGTGTCATCACTGAATACCAGTCGGTGTCATCACTGCAGAGCAGTGTGAAAAGTAAAGCAATCGCAAATTTTGTGAAAATATGTGCCAACCGATTGACAAAAGGACTTCTTACTTTTGGAAGTGTTTTACTACTGGTGTGTTTTACTTCAGGTGTGTTGAGGTTTTATCACAGGTTTGTACTGCCTGTCTACATACCCAAGATGGTGAGCTAGGTACAGCTATTATTGCGTGCATGTCTCTCGGCGACACTCATGTTTACAGCAACAAAGAAGAGTGTATTGAGATGTGTACGTGTAAACCATTACGTGTATAAAAGCACGACTTGACAACCCTTCCCTAACACTGACGGCAGCAATTATGCATATGATACGGAGTGTATTACTGATGTATTTCCCTTTGTTAAGCATGACGAGGCACTGGAACCGCACATCATGTGAATCAATGTATTATAGATAGATGCAGATTTGCAGCCCCTCGTGTACTCACTAACCTCAACAAGCTATCATCTAACACCGAGTGCACCCAACTGGAATATCAATTTCTATTTTGACGAAACAAAAAAGCACCAAGGATTATAATGAAATGATTAATTGCGTCATTTTGGGGGAAATATAATTGTATTATGTACAGTGTGTGATTTTACTGTAGATATCAATACTAATTATATTTTAAATTTAAATTTTTTTTAAACCAATTTCCTTCTTTTACCGTGATATACAGCGTCCCTACCGGCATTGTCTCACATGGGCATTTCGTTTGTCTCGAACTACGGATAGCTCGATATATACCGAACAAAAATGATTGGCACGGTGAATATTTTGGGTGTTATTGCATTGAAAATTGAGTGTTTAGTCTTCACGAAATAAATTCCACAAATGTGATCCCTGACTTTTCAGGTCAGTATATTTTCGATTATCCATCTAGTTAGCCATGCTTAACTATATTTTTCACATATGACATACGTTGTTCCAACACACACTTGTTGTATGAGAGTCAGTGACTGTACATGTAGCAGGATGTAGGCTCCTACAACACCCGGTGTCTCCCGTATGAAATACGTCGACTGGTGTACAGAATAAAGAGGGTGTCACCCATAGGTTCATAGATTTCAACGATATCATTAATTCAGACATTGTTCGCTTTGTCTGTTAAAACCCGATTCACTCACTCACTCAGACTCCTAGACCTTATACAAAACATGAGTCCTCGTCAATAATAAACTCTGTTGTGTCTGTCTACAACATGGTTTAAGTTGAGAGTGGATGTGTGAGTGACTTAGGTTACTGCAGCCTTGACCTTTCACCTGCTTGGACACCGTCTTCACATATTGTACGGACGAATGCTAACCACGAGGCTGTCCACACCAGCTCCCAGCCACACACACACACACACTCTCTCTCTCTCTCTCTCTCACACACACACACACACACACACACACACACACACACCCACACGCACCCCACGCACCCGCACCCGCACCCGCACCCGCACCCGCACCCCCACCGTCCCTCTTTAACGTTGGTAAGTAGACGTGACAGTTTCAAGTACATGTACAATAGCTAACCTCAACAACTTCACTCTCCCGGTCGGCCATGTTGGCGTACTTCCTCACCTCAAGATGTCAGTAACTCACGGCAGTTCTAACATATTGATCTACCTGTCTCGATTGTTCTTATTAGCATCGAGAACAATAGGTAGGTATGCATTGTTTACCAGCCGATCTATTGTCCGGATGTGTCCGTGCACTTTGGGGGGACACACGTTAATGCACGACTGGCGCACACTTGGTGTACACGATCGATATCTTGACATGTGGGAAAACGTTCTGTATATTGTGAAAGGGATAATATGTTAACTCTCTTGGAACAATGTCCCACCCAGAATATTCAGTTATGTATTTTCAGTGTGTTTGTTTGTTGTTTAACACCGCACACATCACTGTTTCATCTTTATGACGGCGGTCTGTAAATAATCGAATCAGTACCAAACAATCCGGTGATGGATATCAAGAACATCGATCTACGCAATGACATGTGTCAGCCAAGTAAGCAAGCCTGATCCCCGATGCGTTTAGTTACATAGGATGCTGGAGACCAGTCTATATCCCGGGGATGTTATATATTTGAGTGAGTGAGCTTGATTTTACGCCGCTTTTAGCAATATTCCGGCGGGGGACACCAGAAATGGGCTTCACATACTGTACCCATGTGGGGAATCGAACCCGAGCCAAAGCTTCAGCCAAAAGGCAACCCCACCGCCCCTATATATTTGAAAACAGGAAGATGAAAACGTGTTGTGTTTTTAAGGTGACCTAGTGAGTGAGTAAGTGAGTATGGTTTTACGCCGCTTTTAGCAATATTCCAGCAATATCACAGCGAGCTTAACACATTGTAGCATTGTTGGGAATCGAACCCAGATCTTCGGCTTGACGAGCGAACGCCTAACCACCATTAGGCTACAATGCAAAGGTACAAGTCAAACTGGGTGTTTATTGCCTAAGTGGACACTTCAGAGGAAACCCCGGTAGTCAGGAAATCTGGCTTTCTGAACGACTTCTGTTGGGATATATATAATCCGGCCCTAATCCGTACCCTTGACAAACCGGACTAAGTCATCGTGAAAGGTACCGTCAAGATTAACGAAATTTCCCTTTAGTTTAGATAACATGAAATTCTGATGATCCAGACATGAATAACAGATATGCGTATTGAACAGCATTATCGTGGAGCGAATAGTGTTATCGATTTTACAACCTATCCGATAAATTTCATATCGTCACCCGATTAATGTGGAAACGAAGTTACCCAGCAGGAAGGGTTGTTATTTAGCTCCACACTTCCGTGCAATGTCTGCATGATTGAAACACTAATTACTAACGCTCTGAAATGTATGGATAGAGGTTTCTCAGGTGTGATTGTTTGTGTTACAGATATGGTTGCACATCATTTGGCGCGACGCTCAGGCATTCTATTGTAACGCTTTGAACGTGCTTCATTAAACGTGACTTAAATTACGTCAGTTGTTGATTGCAAAATATCACACAAGGTAGTAGTATACGTTCTCTGTAACAGGTGTGTGTAACATATATATCTGGGCTTAGATTTTCGAAGCTCTCTTAGAGTTAAGATGGTCGTAAGTGTCATACATTAACATTAACATACGACTATCTTCGGAAATCTGGGCCCAGATGTTGATTGCGAAATATCACACAAGGTAAACGTTCTCTATATCAGGTGTGCATATATTTCATGTGTATATTCAAGTCTTTAAAAGCATGCTCAAAGAGGAGCAGTTGGGTAGCCAAGTAGTTAAAGCAATCGCTCATCACGTCGAAGCCCCGGGTTCGATTCCCAACATGTGTGAAACCCATTTCTGTGGTCCCCTGCTGTGATATTGCTGTAACATTGCTAAAATCGGCGTAAAACCATAGTCACTAACTCACTCACTCATTCTCAAAGATCAGATGTGAAATTGGTTAATTGCGAATAATTAGGCTTGGAAAGAGTTCTCTGAATACAATTATATGATATCAATTGTTAATTGCCAATAAACACGCAAAGTGAATGCTTTTCGCAATAGACATATATGATATCGCTTGTTGACTGCGAATTAGCACAGTAGGTAAACGTCCTCTGAAATAAGCATGAGTGATATACGTCAGTTTGTGGTTGCGAATTGGCTCATTTGGTGAATGTTCTCCGTAACAGAGATATTTGATATATATCATATGTTGATTGCGAATTGGCACGCAAGGTAAACGAAATTGACGGCTTTACAGACGACTAAGCATAATTCCTTAATGATGTTATCAATTTCATATCCATAAAACTGAATTAAACTGTTAATGCAAACATTTAATTTCAATAAAGCATACACGTAGAAAGGTCTTATTGTTGAACCGTATAAAACGCTATGACATCCCTATAATGACAATTGCATTAAAGAACAACATTGATAGAGGAGAAATCGACTACATTAGAAACATATGCGTCTCGATTTCACTACCTCCTTCAGGGCTCAACAATAGCCGCCCGCGCCGCGTAGAAGCCGTTCGTTTGACAAGATAGCAAAACCATGCTGATTTAATTTACAGCAATCATATTTTCTCGATATGCTCATATTTACTACAGTGAATCGATGAACTTTTGACTGCTCCATCTTGCGTTTAAATATCGCATAGTCATCAACGTGTTTAATCGTTAACTCATGCGTTAAGTCTAGTTAGGATAGACCTCTGTATCTGCTTGTGTTCAGGTAATCAAATAAGATATGGATTTTTAATGTGTTAGAAGCGAATGTGGTTACCAGCTTATTGTAACATGATAAGCTGTTTAGGACGAGAACGTCGCCTAGCCTTAGGGAAACTTGCCCCGATGATTGGTAATTTAGTTTGTTAGTTTTGACACACTTTCCCCAAGCAGAAACGATTTATGAAAGTTGGAGCTTTTATTAGATAATTCCTAGCCCGTGTGCAATCAAACTTTGTCAGCTGTCCGATTATTGCTTGAATATTTGACCAATCAGAGAGAAGTTCAACTGTCACATGCGGTTCTACTTTCAGGTGCGCCTAGAGAAACCAACGATGCCGGATTGTGTGATGAGAGTAATCTGAAACTGGACGAATGGCCATGGGTTGGTAAGTGGTGAAAGCATACATCCTAGTTGATGGTTTCCGGATTTAAAAACACCTAGCTGCAATTCTAGATTTCGACAATGAAAACCGAGGAGTTTTAGATCCAGGATTCTTCTCTCTTTCTTTCTTTCTCTCTCTCAACATTTAGAGATATTAAATACTCCCTCCCTCCCTCCTCCCCCTCTCTCTCACTATTGGTTTTTCTTTTCTCTCTGTCGTTTTGTCTCTGTATCTCTCTCTCTCTCACCACCTCCACCCCTCTCCCTCCGCCACCCTCTCTCCATATTTCCCGCCCCACTTCTTTCTCTGTGTGGTGTTCCTGTTGGTCTACTCCCATTTGTGAGAACTCCCAATTGTGAGACTCCCAGTTATGAGACAGTGGACTAAGTAATTAACAACGAAAACACACCATCCTCCCCTGTTTGATAGAATGGATTAACCCTAGCTAATTACTGATTTGCTATGTAAATGAATCTTGTGGAGGTAACTTAATGAAAGTTTATACGATAAATTGATTAACATACTCAGGTAAATGTATTTCAAAATTAAACACTTTGTTTCGTGATCATTTGAAAGATTAATTAATTTACCTAAGCAGTAATGCTTGTTCACCAATCTCAATTCATTTTCATAAATAATAACATATGTTTAAACCAGAATGACTTTCAAACTTAATAATAGTCAATAAAATGTGTTATCATAATTACATGTTCTTCTGAATAAATAAAGTATTTAATTAACTATTTCTTCTGTGTAAATATAATCTTGATAATCTATTTCATTGTGGGCACTCTTCAACAACTGGGCTGATCCTACACTTTCATTGTAGGGATGTGGAACTATGTGCATTGAACCATTAATTAATGTGTCTCACAACTGGGAGTTTCTCTTTCTCTTTCCCCTCCCCCTCTCCCTCTCATTACCCCCCTCTCTCTCTCCTCTCATTTCCCTACTCTCTCTCTCTCTTTCGACATTTAGAGATGTTAAATACTCCCTCCTCCTCCCCCCTCTCTCTCACTATTTGTTTTTCTTTTCTCTCTGTCGTTTTGTCTCTGTATGCCCTCTCCATCTCTCTCTCTCACCACCTCCACCCCTCTCACCACCTCCACCCCTCTTCCACCTCCACCCCTCTCCCTCCGCCACCCTCTCTCCATATTTCCCGCCCCACTTCTTTCTCTGTATGGTGTTCCTGTTTCATTCCCTTTCTCTTTCCTCTCTCTCTCCCTCTCTCTCTCTCTCTCTCTCTCTCCCGCCCCACTTCTTTCTCTGTGTGGTGTTCCTGTTGGTCTACTCCCATTTGTGAGAACTCCCAATTGTGAGACTCCCAGTTATGAGACAGTGGACTAGGTAATTAACAACGAAAACACACCATACTCCCCTGTTTGATAGAATGGATTAACCCTAGCTAATTACTGATTTGCTATGTAAATGAATCTTGTGGAGGTAACTTAATGAAAGTTTATACGATAAATTGATTAACATACTCAGGTAAATGTATTTCAAAATTAAACACTTTGTTTCGTGATCATTTGAAAGATTAATTAATTTACCTAAGCAGTAATGCTTGTTCACCAATCTCAATTCATTTTCATAAATAATAACATATGTTTAAACCAGAATGACTTTCAAACTTAATAATAGTCAATAAAAATGTGTTATCATAATTACATGTTCTTCTGAATAAATAAAGTATTTAATTAACTATTTCTTCTGTGTAAATATAATCTTGATAATCTATTTCATTGTGGGCACTCTTCAACAACTGGGCTGATCCTACACTTTCATTGTAGGGATGTGGAACTATGTGCACTGAACCATTAATTAATGTGTCTCACAACTGGGAGTTTCTCTTTCTCTTTCCCCTCCCCCTCTCCCTCTCATTACCCCCCTCTCTCTCTCCTCTCATTACCCCCACTCTCTCTCTCTCTTTCGACATTTAGAGATGTTAAATACTCCCTCCTCCTCCCCCCTCTCTCTCACTATTTGTTTTTCTTTTCTCTCTGTCGTTTTGTCTCTGTATGCCCTCTCCATCTCTCTCTCTCACCACCTCCACCCCTCTCACCACCTCCACCCCTCTTCCACCTCCACCCCTCTCCCTCCATACCCTCTCTCCATATTTCCCGCCCACTTCTTTCTCTGTATGGTGTTCCTGTTTCATTCCCTTTCTCTCCCCTCTCCTCTCTCTCTCTCTCTCTCTCACTCACTTCCTCACTGTATTCCGCATTCGGTACCCCGCATTCTGTTCCTGTTTAATCTTCACTCCACCAATCGCTGTGTTGTATGAATGGAAGCGTACCCCCACCCCTCCCCGATACCGAGTAGACTCCCCTTCCCATACATCTCTATAATGGCTGCCTGGCATTCACCTTCACATTATCTCCCTAGTCATAAAATGATTTACAAATCATGCTGCTTGATGGAACTGACTTTTAAACATCACGGGGCGTATTCGATTCGCAAACTCTGATTAATGGCGTCAACGGTGGGTTTTCATTAACAAACATCCAGCTTTTTTGTCCAAGTCCCTTCTGTTGACAAGGTTACATGTCCTAACTGATGCTAGGAATGTCTTCGCGGATACTCGGATCACAAAATCGGTGTTTCGAATTCGCCCGGGAGCATCCTTAATAGAGCCCAAATGTTTATGCATTGATGCCCGTATGGGCAGCTGTGACTCCACTAAGATCTGAAGTAAGACATGGCTGATCAATGTCTCCCCACTGTTCTAGCCTAGTGGATGGGTAATTATTGCCGAGCTTCTGATGGCCCGTCGGTACATACTTACCATCCTCCGGTGAGGGACTTTTTCTATGCTTTTCCTAGTTTTTTCTTTCAAAAAGCCAATTGATCATGCCCCCGAAAATGGACAGCAGATTGTTTGACGGCCGTCTTGAGGGTAATAAATTCGAGAGAAAGCCATGGCATTGTGATCGATTTACAGAGGGATTGGGCCTCTCTCCGGATAAGTATCTCAGTTAAACACGACTTCTCACCATTAACTAATCCTTGGAAAATTGAGAAATAAGAGATAAGCAGAGCGAGGCATGAAGAAATGGACAGCGATCTCCGCCAATTACCACGTGCACCCCGTTCTGCACACGTCCCGTATCTCACGTCCAGCTTCAGACAAATGTACCGGTCTCGAGGGATCGTACAAAAACCTACATTACCTTACTGGCTAGACGGAGACTTTCTTCGGTCATCTTAATTGCATTTTGCAGTTTTTTGGTGTGAAAAAAACAGAGTATTTTTTAAAATCAGTATAATAAAGATTTTTTGTCTGCGTCAGCTGATATGTTATAATACTTAATAAATCGAAAAAACACGATTTTATGCTGCTTGGCGATTATTATTTATATACTGTTATTATAACAGAACGATTAAAAATCATACATCCACACGTGCTCCTTGACATGAGTTGTATTTCTTTCTGAAAAGTCTCTCTGAGGATTTCAAATGTTTCATATAACGTGTTGATAATTTTTTCTGTACATAAATTAGTATTTTTTATCAGACGTCTAACTTTTGAAATGTTCCCCTAAAGCAAAGGAGTAAAGATCGACACGTTATTCTAGTGGTAGAAATATGTCTGTTTGCTCATCGTGTGAAAAAGAATCAGGATTTGAAACCCAAATATGTACATAACTGATGTGTCCTGCAGTTTTGTTACTGTTTTGTTACTTCGAACCACGAAACATGTTAAAGCAAAAGGTGTTTACGATTGGTCACGTGTGAATCATGTGATCAACCTGCAATCAATTTGCTGAAGAAGAAGATCAAATAAAGCTGTTTTTATCAGTTACACGGGAGTTATAGAGAGAACGTCGATATCAGGTTTGAGAAGAGTGAGGGTGTATCAACATAGACAACAGACTGACTTTCAGGGAAGTTCAACATTGTCTGTTTCCTAATACATTTAAATCGAAAAAGTCTATTCTCCAGCTGGCCCAGTCGTGTATGGTGCCACAGTTCGCTATGCAGAGTTATCTCCCTTGGCACGTCAGAAAGCTATGATCGAATTTATGGTTCAAGTCTCGTGAGCTGTCATACCTCTAAACCGACTTGGGTGCCTTCGAGAAATAATCGTGATCGTGGGTTCGAATCTCTTTTCCCCTATGTTTATAGCCTGGTCTCCATCATGCCGTTATACAGAGTTGTCTCCCTTGAGAAATGATCGTGGTCGTGGGTTCGAATCCTTTTTCCCCTCTATTTCTAGGTTTATCAGTACCACACCTGTGTAAATAGGTAAACACGTGAGACATGCCCCCTCGAGGTGACCTCCCACATAACGCTTATAGAAATTGAGTGAGTGGACTATTATTCAAAGCTGCTCTAAACCCGTGATCGCGCGCTCTATTTTCAGGCTTGAACCGTCTCAATTTCATTATAAAACGAAATGCAAATATTTACTCACATAACCTTAAAGTAAAGCAAAATGCAGCAAAATATAATAATTTTAAACATTGTTCACGAAACGGAATAACAGCTGTACCCAGATTGTATTCATTTGGAACAAACCAAAACATATCTCTCATCTTTATATGTGTTTGTTCGGGGTTTTACACACAAAAAAGATAGTTCTGTGAGTGCTGTCTGGGACTCTATTGTAGAGATTAGAAGAACATAAAATACAGCTGACTTGAAATAGCAGCCACATTTCCAGACGCAATCAAATCCAGACCGGCAGCAACACTGGTGACTAGCGTTTTCTTTAGAAATCCTGTTTTTGAATATCGGAGTGTTGAAATTGCGGGAGAACTGGTGACTAAGAAATTCCTGGCACGGCGGTAGACTCATGGACAGTTAGTCTCCAGTAATTTGACGTTACTTCGCCTGACAATGGCCGTCCTGACACCGACTGAGTGATAGATAACTCGGGAAGCAAGTCAAATGTAAATTTATAGTCAAATTACCAATTATTAAAGCAATACTTGTCCCGTTTATGTATTAATCGTATTACTTTAGGTTCATTTAATTGGAAGTAATGATATCGAAGAAAGGAACAAGAACTGAATAGGATTTGGGTTTGAAGGGAGGTCGCGTTTTGAGTAAAAAACTCTTCACTTGACTGAAGACGCTGCAAGGAGCTTGGATAGGTACGGGAGTAACTATAATCTCGCGACAACCCGACTGATGTGAAATTGAACGGAAACATCTCGCGCAACCGGATGTAAAGATTGGAGATAGGTTTTCTACACAAACGTTGGCCCCAGCTGAGATGCCCTGTTTAAAGAAATTCTCAAAACCGGAAGTGGGACTCACGGAGCGCGTGAATAGCACGCGCGGCTCATGTCTACTCTGTGTGTCTCTCGTCTCATTACCAGCGTCTTAACGGCAGGCTTACATTATCGTGTCTTTGCAATCCTTTTCTCAATTACGACGCTGATTTTATCTTTCAGTCGTGAATATCGCCAGCAGTCGCTCGGAAGAATAGAAAACGGAAACATTTAAGCATCGGCCCGCTTGTAAACCGCTAACATTATCTCGGTGAGAAGAAATGCCAGCATATCGAGATTGAGCTACCACTAGGCAAGAGGGTTTGTCAAAGAAGGGTTAAACTAACGGCTGTCAGCACATTAAATGACTCTCTTATCTGCTTAAATCACTACTCCTTAATGAGCTGGAAATTCCAAATAAGGAGCTATCACTGTAGATATAACTATCTCCTTTCTGAGTCAACATCATGTTTAAGTCAACGCCTGTGAAGGTCGCGCCTACTGCCGCAAATTACTGATCGATAATAGCCCAACTCCAAAAAGCTGTATCTGAAAAAGTCCCGATCTTTTTATAACGCAATAACTCTTCTAACAGCCATACATTTTTAACACGGTTGGGTGTTTGATTTTACAAGAGATACTACGGTAGAACGAGGCGCGGAGATAGCGACTTCTATTAGATGCTATCCTACAGTTTCCGGTTGGCGGAGTGATATTTGTTCTGCACTGAGGCCGGACTTCCGGCCATTGAACAAGTGTTTGTACTTGGTTCTACGTTCCGCGACAAATAGGTGCATTTAAATTGTCAAAAAAATGCCTCGAGTAATTGTTTGGTGGATTTCTTTGTCTCCAAAAAAGATAAAGAAATAGACAATGCACAATAATCATTTAACTATAAGAATATAGGCACAAAATTTGACGTGTTAATAATAATAATTGTTATAAATAAAAACATATTTTCTACTTGAGGAATTGGCTAGAATTCGACATACATAATTACATCTTTTTATTCTAAGGGACCGTTCGTAATTTATGGCTAATGGGGTGATGGTTATTTTTATTGAGAAGCATGAACGGTCCCTAAATGCATTTCCAAGTAATGATATCTTACAAACGAACGCACGCACACACACGCACGCACGCAAGCACACACACACACATTGGTAATGACTTTCAGCTAACAGCTTGTGTCATCACTGATTGTCAATGATCCATTCATGTAATTTTCATCACTTGTTAGCCTTTTATACCCACTGGAATCTTTTTCGGAGGATAATTGAAATTGATTACCAACTGGCACTGACGTTTTATATTTATTAGATAAATCTAACTGAAAAGGTTAGATATTGATAAGTCAACAAGCCATTAATTCCGTTCATAATACAGTGATATTCTGAAGGCGTAGTACTGTTTATTCTGCTATTGGTCAACCAACACGTATCGTTCTGGTAAAAGACAGAAGCATTCTACTTTGCTTTGTATGTTGATACACGTGCGGCACGTGCATTTGCACCTTTGATGTTTCTGTGCCAACGAGATGGAAGCTTAATCCCATGTTTTGTTATGTTTTCGTGACGGTGATATCGACTTTTCTAGATGGGTAGCTAGAAGGGCGGTATATGCCAAGCAAACAGTATCGTTAACCCGGAACACATACAACGTACACCGACTTGACCTTATTTATTGGACAACCAATGGAGCTCTTCGAGCAGTCTTTTATCTGAACGGGGACCACTTTCAATGTCGAGCTAAATAATTCAAGTTTATTCATGAGCTTTGATGTCAGAGTGATTTTGATATATACTCTTGGTTGAGAAACGTGCTTACTGTCAAATATTGGAAATCTTTTTATAATCATGGAAATCTCAATGTTCAATGTACATATTTTCTCTTTTTTTTAAATATCAGGTTCTATGTATGTAAGTTCATTCATTTTGACTGAATTGTTATATTTAATTGTGAACAAGAAGAGTGGTTATTGGAAGGTATTATAGATAAAACAGAAAGCCAATACCTGATAAAACTGGGTAAGAAGTAACCAATATCACAAAATGCTAAAAACAGAGGAATCAATTGAAAGGGTAATCAAATGGAACAAGCCATTAGATAATTAATTTCGCTTTTTGTACTTCGATATTAAAAAGGCCAATATGTTGGGAAAAACAAGAGTAATAAAGGGTACGATTAAAAACTGTCTGTTTAATATGCAGATACAAACTGAGCGGTGCTTAGCAAGTGATATGCTGTTTATATTTTTAAAGACTAAGTTTAAGAACATCTTTCTTAAAGTGTCACACATTATATGACATATGCCTATAGGACTTTTAGTGTATGTAACATCCAATTTTGAATTGTCTTTCAGTGAGTGAGTGAGTGACTTTAGTTTTACGACGCATTCAGCATTATTCCAGCTATATGGCGGCGGTTTGTGAATAATCGAGTCTGGACCAGACAATCCAGTGATCAACAGCATGAGTATCGATCTAAGCAATTGGGAACCGATGACATGTGTCAACCAAGTCAGCGAGCCTCTTACGATCATGAGCATCGATCCACTCAAATGTGATACGATGACATGTGTCGCCTCTTACAACAAGCATGGGTTACTGAAGATCAGTTCTAACCCGGATATTCACGGGTGAATTGTTTTTCAGCAAATTGTTTGTAGAAAGAGGCTTGCTGACGGCATAGTTCAGGTTGGCTGACATGCATTTGGCCTATTGTTTTGATCATCGTTCATGATATCTGTCACTGGGTTACATGTTTTTACGTCTTAAACGTGACGGAGGGGCAGTGGGGTAGTCCAGTGGTTAAAACGTCCGCTCGTCACGCCGACGACCCGAGTTCGATTCCCCACATGGGTACAATTTGTGAAGCCCATTTCTGGTGTCCCCGCCGTGATATTACTGGAATATTGCTAAAAGCGGCGTAAAACCATACTCACTCACTCACTTTAACGTGACTAAACGAGAACTTAATAGGCGAAAGCAATGGGAACGAGTTTAATTTAACACCATTTTAAAAAATAATTCAGGTCCTCAGCTTGATGCAAGAGCAAATCCTGATTTGATGCAGGTCTTTCACATTGATCACATGGTTCTGGCACAACTAAGGGACGCAACTCTGCATGGCAACTTCCGATGCCTTCACTACCCGTACACGGAACCAAAACAAAAATACTGGATTCGCAAACCACAACACCATATCGTGGAAATATTTCGAGTTTGAACGTGACTTTATTCTTCAGATTGACCTATCTTTCAACTGGAGCGCTGGGGTAGCCTAGTGGGGAAAGCGTTCGCTCATCACACCGATGGCACGGGTTTCGATTCCCCTCAGTACAATGTGTAAAGTGATTTCTTGTGTTCCCTTCCGTGATATTGCTGGAATATTACTGAAAGTGGCGTAAAACAATACTGAATCGTGTCTCCCAATTGAATGTGATATAACTAACATTACCAGCAAAGCAGTGTTAAACCAACAAAGCCACTCTCTCGCTTTTACACGTTGACATAAGTTACGGTTTAGACGTTCAAAGCACTGCCAGTAAATGCTGTCTTATCAATAATACAGGAGCAGAGTCATTAAACTCAGATCTTAGTGCTCGCTACTGCTTCGCGATGGTCTGAGAACATCCCATTACAGATCAGGTCAGAACCAGTGCCAATCAGAGCGTCACTTACTAGAGCACGATAGTGAAAGTCCAAATGCACTTTATAACCATGTAACCTCGAAAGGCTTAACACGAGGCATGCTGAACGACATTTAGAGATGTTCAATAACCCCCCCCCTCTCTATTTGTTTTCCTTTCTCTCTCTGTCTTTTTGTCTGTCCTGCCTCTCTCTCTCACAACCGCCTCCGTGGTGTAGTGGTTAGAGCGTCCGCCCGGAGTGCGGAAGGTCGCGGGTTCGATCCCCGACCGCGTCATACCAAAAGACGTTAAAATATGGTACTTGTTGGTCCCTGCCTGGCGCTCGGTATTAATGGGTACAACAAGGACTGGTCGGCTCGGAGTCAGTATAATGTGTCTGAGTGGGGTATTCATGCTTCAATGCGGCATGGTATCTCAGAGGGCTAGCACTATAAAACCAGCTTCAGTCTGGGCTAGTACAAGCAGGCGCACATACACATACGTACGCATGCACGTCGTCATATGAGCGAAATATTCTCAAGCACGACGTAAAACCCAATTTCACCTCACCTCACCTCTCCCTCTCTCTATCTCTCTCTCTCTCTCTCTCTCTCTCTCTCTCTCTCGTGTTCTGTTCCTGCCTTTCTTTCAATCCCCGCTCTCTCTTTCTCATTCAGCAGAAGCAGTCATCAGGAAACCATCATGTTCTTTTTTACCTTTCAGGTCCCTATACCAGCAGGCCATATTTTTGTCCAATCAGCGGCGGTTTTACGTTTCGGACTTTCAGCAGACTGACTAATGAGGTAGGTTGTTACGTTTTGTTATGATCAGTTCACTCGATCAACTATTTTGTTTTCGAAATCCAGGTTTGAATATCCATTTGTGGTTAGCACAGAAGATGTCACAATAGAAACAAACTGAATTGCTTAATGGTTTTTGGGGGGCTCAATAAAAAGAATGGCGGTGGAATGAACGCAAACACAGGAAATGAAAGAATCCAATTGCTTGGAGTGTTCTTCGGAATGTCAAGGAATCAGCTTGTTCCCTTCTGATAGTATTCAACTTAAATTTTTCTGTTACTGACTTTTCGAGAAGAAATAATTTTGGGGTGAAATTTTGGACCTTGTGAATCGTGAATGGACGGACTATATGATATCTTGGTTATTTGGTACAGGCAAGCTGCGTATTTTACTGTTTCAAGACATACAGTGGTTTGTTTTTTCTCTGAAAGTAAGAACAAATCCTATTTTACAACACAGTTATTTATCCAGTTTTTCCAGCTACCAGTTTTGCTTTGGTTGGTAAAAAATATTGTAGAAAAGTAAACTACTGCAGTCATTAAAACAACGTTGCCATGTAGACGATGTTGGTGTTGTTCTTCTCCAGAATATGGCCCTAGAGAAGGTTAGCCGCTCACTAGCTGCAAAATTGCTGATGCTGAGTTTACTCACTAAGTCCCTTTTTGAACAATGCACTTGTCTTCCCAACATTACAAAGATAGAATGAAAGTAATTTGACCTTTGTAGATCTGTTACCATGATTACTGCAGATTCTTTAGATAATTGGAATATCACATTTATGAATAGTCATTTTCCTCGACGCTGGCCTTCCTGTGAACGTAAAAACTCTCAATATTCTGACATAGAATGTATCAACCGACTATCAATTATGAAAGGTAATGGAGGCAACAGTGTTTATTGGTAAGCAGGTAAAATAACTGAGATACGGCTAGAAATGCAGGTGACCATATTTAGGAAGCAGCGTATACATACATCAAAAGCTGCCATGTGTTGGCCAGTTTCTGTCTGTGCAATTACAAGACAATGGAGCTTTTAGTGGCAGGTGTATAGTGGAGTAACCTTTGTCTCTCCATATCCAAATTACTGCCCGAGATAGTTGCCCAGCTGCAAGATCATCTCTACTTACATGGTGGCTGCGTTTAGGAGAACAGTTCCATGTATGAAAACATGGAGCCAGCAGCAGGTTATAGGTTCTTGGTTACGGTCACAACATGACAGGTTTCTGTATGATGTTAGTTTCAAACAGATTTAATTCCCGAGTCGGAACAGTTTTTGTGAAACTACCATTCTTATGATTATGAAACTTTCACTTAAAAATCTTGTAGCTTTTATTAATTATACAACATATGTTTTATTTGGGATTACACTTTCTCAGAAAGGTATAGACTTTACTACTTTTTGGATGTTGAGTCCTCTCCGGGATTCGAATTCACATTCACAGAGTAAGGCACCTAATCGCCAGTACGTCACCCACTCAGCTACCACACCTTCCACAAAAATGGAATTCTGACGACTGGAAGAATGAGGAGGATGGTAATGGTGATGATGGTAGTGATGATTGTGGTGGTGATGATGGTGGTGATGGTGGTGATGGTGGTGGTGGTGGTGGTGATGCTGATGATGATGGTGGTGATGCTGATGATGATGGTGGTGATGATGATGGTGGTGATGATGATAGTGGTGGTGATGGTGATGGTGGTGATGATAGTGATGGGGATGGTGATGGTGGTGATGATAGTGGTGGTGATGGTGATGATGATGGTGATGGTGGTGATGATAGTGGTGATGGTGATGATGATGGTGATGGGGGTGGTGGTGGTGGTGATGATGGAGGTGATGGTGGTGGTGGTGGTGATGGTGATGATGATGGTGGTGATGATGGGGGTGGTGATGGTGGTGGTGGTGATGATGGTGATGATGATGGTGGTGGTGATGATGGTGATGGTGGTGGATGGTGATGGTGGATGGTGATGGTGATGGTGATGATGGTGCTGATGGTGGTGATGATGGTGGTGGGGGTGGTTGTGATGGTGATGGTGATGGTGGTGATGATGGTGGTGATGATGGTGATGGTGGTGCTGATGGTGTTGGATTACTGACATTTGCAGGGTGCCTCCTTCGAGAAGCACAGCCCTTCTGACACTGTTTATACTACTACATACAGAAGACTGCAGCTTTGGGAAGTGTACATATTCCCATAAAACCTATTCGTGGCTTTGACCAGAAAAAGTCCCTTTCGCTGTCTGGGCTGCCTGTGAATGGGCACCTAGCTGATAATGTGCCAAACCAGGCAGACTGGACCAGGAGCACCCGGACCCTCTTTGTATTTATATATTTTAATCTATATATAAGAATAATAACGATAATTTCAACAACAATATCAATAACACTATTACGTTTATGTTTTAATCCCACTCAGTCACCAAATGTATTTCCTTATTTTCCATTTTGGAATTCTGTGCTGGAACCCTGGTCCATTAATGAAAGTGTCTCTAAATGTTTCTTCTCTGAGAATGTAATGGATGGGAAATATAGATGAAGCGAGATGCTGCAGCGGTGGCACATGTGACTAGATCTCGGCTTCCACGTTATTGTTAACATAGGCAAGAAACAGATGGTACCGTGTCATTGACAGTGCAGGAAGGGCATGGGCTTTTATCAAAGAAAAGAACAATTTCTGATTTCTGTAAAAGATCAATGTATACAATTATGTGAACAAAGTTTCACATATGATTAATTTATTTAATATCATGCAAAATTAATAAATCAGTCGACACTGGTTCAGGCAGAAGCTATTTATTAATATGTTTCATGGGCTGTGGGGTAGCCTAGTGGTTAAAGCGCTTGCTCGCCACGCCGAAGGCCCGGGTTCGATTCCCAACATGGGTACAATGTGTGAAGCCCATTTCTGGTGTCCCCCGCCGTGATATTGCTGGAGTATTGCTAAAAGCGGCGTTAAACCATTCTCACTAATATGTGTCATTTTTACAAATTGGTATATGTGTGCTGTAATTTACTTTTTAAAATTATAACAATGCAACTTCAATTAAAATATTTGAGAATGTAATAACCAGTCACTAAATATTAAACGTCGATACCAGGGAATAACCAAAATATCTTCTTGCGTAAAATAGGTTGGAAAACCATATAATAGATCACTAAAAATCAGTCGTGTTCGCGATAAAGGTCAATATGAAATGTTCCACCGGGCTCCTAAACCACATTTTGAAAGGCGTTGTTACAGATATCCGGAATTAAGATGCATTAAAGCAGTGTTATTGTTTAATATTTATTGAATGCTCTGAAAATTTACCAAATCAGATACAGGTGGAATTCGGATTCATTTGCTAAAGATCACAAATTGGTTAAATATGTTTTAAAAGTGTGAAAACGCGTGTTTAATTCTACGAACTGTTTTATCTATCATGTGTGACCACAAATAGTCTACAGCTGATAAAACGATATATCTATGTCTTAAAAACCTCTTTTGGATGTCCCCTTTGCACACTAATGCCCCTTTTACAGCTTTCAGCTCCTTCGGGGGATGCCATTATTGGTCTCGCTAAAAGTCAACCGCCATCCTTAATTAGTGCTTGTACACTCTCTTTAAACCAATGTGGCTTTCCTAAAGTCAAAAGGACCTTGATGAAAATCAGACTCTTTAGTAATGGCTATTGGATTATTCCTAATTCAATATCTGTAATAGATTGATGCACAGAATGTTAAAAAGGAGAAATCTGCAGCCTGCTAGCGACTTTGAGGAACGATTTGACATAATGTAAGTGGGTTTGTATGCTCTTAACATTAGACAGAGATTGTCACCATCCAACTTGCATGGATCCGTCAGATAACGAGCTAATATGGCAGCTTTAAATCAGATTCCACGGTAAAGAAAATGTCAATAAATGGCTTTTAATATTTTGTCCTCAAAGTTTTTATATCCCCAACAGCTATTTCCACAAATCAATATTTCCATTCAAAAATAACATTTAAAAGCACACTTAGCATTTCTTTGCGAAGATGTTAGTAACTTTTCGACAAAAACGAGTTGTTTCAGCATTTCTGGTTCTCTTCTAAGATTACTGAAAACTAAACGACAAACTGTTAGAATTTCAGCATTTTCCCACAAAAATTACAGAAAAGCAAGCGAAGATATTTTGAACAAAACAAACGACGACATCTCCTAAAGAAAGCACTTGATGAATGGCATAGTTTATTACACTGGCAGAACTTCTGCTCTTTCTCGATCCTTTAGGCTCCAAGGGCCATCGCTTAGAGTCGTCGTGGACATTAATCTAAATCTTGACACACGAAGAAAGGGTCATTTCATGAATGAAGATGGACGGTTGGGCTTGTATATGGTATTTGTATGGTATTATAGCAGAAAATGTTCCCGAGAATGATTTCACCATTGAATTAGAAGCCTTGGGGAGATGGAAGGAAAACACAATTATAATACAAGTGTCCTTGCGATGTGTCGCTATATTGCAGAACCGTGTCAGCTCGAAGTGCAAGCAAGCATTGAAATGTGTTGTTCTGATATTTTATCCGTTATCGAGTTATCCGTAATTTGAGAAAGCGAGTGAGTGAGTTTAACGACGCTTTTAACAGTATTCCAGTTACATCACGGCTAGTGGGATTGATGATGTTAGAAGGTTAGAAGTGATGCCCATCTGGTGCGTTTACCACTTAGTGAAAACCATGAACATGGAATGGAAATGACAAATCATGTTCGTGACGAAGCGGGGTTCGAACCCATGAGCAGTGGTATCTGACCTACCCAAGGGAAGCAAATCTGCAAAGCGAATTCTTGCACCTTCGACGACAGGGGCATTCAGTCGCTTTGGTGGAACATGCAAGGGCATTGTGCTGATTAAACTAACCCCCAATAAACCCCCGACAAATTGTTTCTCGCATGCCCAAGGGACGCCGTAAATTGAGACAAAGTGCCTATATCAGAGTATCGTTTAGTGATTACGTACAGACCATAAAGTTATATTTTCTTTAAACATATGTACTAATTTTATTCATGCTTTCGAGATACGACAAACACTTGTTAATCCAGAGAACACGACGCCATACTACAAGCTGTAGTGATGCATGAACCATGCATGATTCCATATGAAATCCTCTGGATAACCGAGGTTATCGTTAGTGCAGTCTCCGTTCTTTATAAAGGTCGTGATTATTGATGTTTGTTCAATTTTACATCATTGTCTTGTAAACTCTCTATGTCAGACTCTCTAAATAAGGCTGACTCCGATTATCACTAAAATAGATTCCACCTGGCGCAAAAGGCAAAGTACGGTGACAATTATATGAAGAGATCACTGAATATCGCGAAGGACACACCTTCCTATCGGAAGAACATAATCACATGATCATATGACGTCACTTCCGGTTGAGCGTATGCGTGTTGTTTCAGGACGTTTGCGAAGACGAATGGCGGCGGTCGCAGCTGGAGATCGAATGTTTGAGCGGGGACGGGCTTGACTTCATTGCTCCCACCGGCAGCATCTGCAACCCCTTCTTGAGACACGGTGTTTGTAAGTACCAGTTCATTCACAATCCACAGGCGTCAGAGATTGTTGTTGAATTTAAGCGGACGTCAGCATGAGAACGCCAAAGGTAGCTGATATCATATAACCCCATTAATTACTGAAACATATACACTACAGACAAAAATACGGAACAAATGTTTCGAATGTCGATGTCGTTGGGGTGTTCTTTTCCTTTACAGTGACGTTGAATCTGAACGCAACAACTTCCCACAATGACATTTCATATCATGAAAGAACAACACGTAATGCATGTGCATACTGAAGCCAAGTGCGTGCACCTTAATGGGAACCTCACATCACTGAGGCAGTTGAGCTGAGCACAAGCTGCAAATGTCTCCGGGACTGAACGGACGAAATGGTAATTGTGGATACCAAAGAGGTTGGAACGTCAGTATCCCAACTTTGCCCAGATGTCTGGATAATGAAAAAGCGAAATGTCTTGACACTGGGACACGTGACGTCAACCAGGCGGGGTTGCCATGACAACTGGGCGTGGCATGCCAGAAAACGACACCTAAACAAGTTCGTCACATGACCAGGCATCAGAAAATTCCGTACAATAACAGGGTCGCGAATTTAGATAGCTACCGTTAAACCCCACACCACGCAGCCCCGTCTGGTTATGGGAATGTCAGTTATTTAATAAGGGTATGATAGATGTTTAGGTTTTATTTTATTTTCATATATCCAAGTTGGCAACGTTTTGTTAACTTATGTAATGTTTAGGGCTATTTCAGTTTTTGGATGTATAGTTTCTTTTACTTAGCAGTTTATACTGGAGAAACGACCCAATATTTTTGTTTCTTGTGAACGAAATTTGGAATCAAGTGAAACACGCAAACCTAACTACATGTATTACCTTATGGCTAAACCCAAGGGAGAACCCGGCACACCTGGTGTATCTGAGACAGGCATTGTGCTCCATGGGTCGGCACCATGCTGTTGAAAAGCAAAGTGACACAAATAGCGCAATGACGACAGTGAATGCAGGATTCCCATCCCTATGTACACGTTGTAGGTAAAATGTTAAATTGTCAAAATCATTTCTGTAACCTGTAGGGATGAAATATCTTTCCTGCTCGAAAATTGCATTGTTTTTAAATGAGTGGATGTCATATCAGTCTTCTTAATATCTCCATGGCCGTTACGGATGCTGCTGCCAATAGAAACAATAATCCTCATGTGGGGTGCTTAGACTACCTATATCAAGTGATGTTATCACTTGCGAGTGGGGGTTATTTCACATAGCTGCAACAGTTTTCCAGTTAAATGACAGCTCATTGCAGAGGTAAACTACTCACGTCTTCCGTTTTTGTTTTTGTTCCTTTGGTTTGGTTTTGCCTTTGCTTTTTCGTTTTTGGGGGGGGTTGTTTGTTTTGTTTTTGTTTTGTTTTTTGTTATGTTTTGTTTGTTTGGGTGTTTGTGTGTGTGTGTGTGTGTGTGTTTGTGTGTGTGTGTTTGTGTGTGTGTGTGTGTGTGTGTGTGTGTGTGTGTGTGTGTGTGTGTGTGTGTGTGTGTGTGTGTGTGTGTGTGTGTGTGTGACACTTCGCCCAGAGACACTCAAGTACAACATTTAACTTGAAATACTGGATATATAGTTCTTCTTTCCTTCACAAACTCAAGCTAGTTTTAAATTATCTAAAATAGTTTTAGTCGATAAAAACATCAAAGTTTTTAAATCCTAATTGAACTATGTAATTTTAACGATTTGAAATTAACAACTGTTTCCCTTCCGCTAGTCAAGGAAACAAACGTGGACGATAATAACACTCGTTTTAGATAATGTCCCCTGTAGGCTTGGCAAGGAATCATTTGTCACCAGACTAAATGAAAGAATCACCGAGTCCTGTGCGGTAGGGATTTATTTTGGCCTCTGGGAACTTTCCCTGTGATCCGTCCGAGGACATACACGTTGAAGGATGGAATGCCCATTCTTGTTATAGAAATTACCATTACTCTGTCATTGAGTGCACCCATGACTTGAGGCAAAGTGAGCCAATACAAATTGATCCTAATATGGTTTTCATGATGCCTGTTTGGGAATTATTTCCAGACATTTCACTTTGGTATTGTCAGGAGCGATTTAATAAGACATTGTCTTAACCTGATCAGAGTGTGGTTAGAAAGTGTGTATTCCATGCGATTACACCCTGTAACACAGTACGTCACAGCAGCGACGCTTGTATATTTCATTTGAGCATTTATTCTAACATATTTTTAAATTCTAACAGAAGAAAGTCGAGATCTGTGATGATTGGGGTTCGATTACCATTCAGATTTATCGTACAAATGCCGCAACATATTTGTTACCAGCAAGAACATTTTTTAAACACAATAGCAATTTTTACCATCATAACGTGTTTCAAACAAAATAATAATATATCATGTCGTCTAAGGTTATGGTTCTAAATTATTCAAGGCTCTAACACAAATGGGATATATTTTGTTCAATGACTTGTGAACTTGTAGACTAAGTCATATTCATGCGTGAAGCCCATTTCTGGTATCCATTGCCGTGATATTGCTGGCGTACAACCATATGCATTCACTCACTCACTCACTAAGTCACATTTATGGCATATCTTCACATATTGTACCTGACTCCAGTTATCACCCAAGTAAGTTAGAATTGATCTCCAGCAACCCATGTTTGTTGTACTAGGCGACTAACGGGATCGAGTGGTCAGGCTCGCTGACTTAGTTGACACATGTCATCGTATCCCGTTTGCGTAGATCGATGCTCATGCTGTTGATCACTGGAATGTCTGGACCAGGCACGAATACTCACAGACCGCCGCCATATAGCTGGAATATTGCTGAGTGCGGTTTTAAACAACAAACGAACAAATAATTATTAAGTTATATTCTGTATATTTTCCTACGTGAATAAATGACATCTGATTTAAAGAGTATGATATGATATTAATGTATCAAGTCGTTAATCAATAGGTGCATTTAAAATGCAACAAATATATTCATATTATGGTAACACTGAATATTTGTTGCGTATTGGCGACTTGGCCTTTTTCCAAACAACCGCCCGGCACCCTATACCTACTTCACTGGGGTTGTACTATTGACCATTGTGCAGAGTCAGCAATTCAGACCCGGGTCGGGTTACAGAACCTAAGTAACTAGGTCTTTGACTGTAGGTCCGGGGAGGAACGAATATGACCTTCCTTTTTACACTGCATGTACAACTTGACAGACCCCTTACAAAGCTGTGTAACTGTGGATGGAGTTACACAGAAGGAAACTCTCAAATGAAGCCATCTCTCCAGTGTATTATACTTGGAATCAGTTGAATATTTCAACAAACCGTTAAGTTAAGAGAAAGCTGTTCGTATAATCGCTATATAGGACTCTTACAGCACACACAAATGAAAGTTTGATTTTTAATAAATATATTTTTCTCTTTGTTGGTCACAGTTTGATGTGTGTTTTATCTTATCGTTATGAAAAAATGTCTTCCAAAATGGTACACAACTACAGTAAGACAACAGATAAAAATTGATTACCTTTTGATATCGTCATTTATATTTGTATTTCTGAAGATATACATGCAATTAGAACTTGGGCCTCGGGCTTTCCTGTGTTTCACACACAATAGAAGAGACATGTTCTTGGAGAGTTGCGCTCACGGATCATGGTGAGATAAAGTCACGTGATCAGCAGATCATTTCCTGTCCTACCGGAAGTACCCTTAGCCGATCTACCACATGTGATTTTAGTTCTGACAATGCTCCATCAACACACAATGCTACAAGGACAAGCTAAGAAATCGAGGAATCTTCAAGACAAAGCTACAAAGAAATGCTCTATGATGAAGACACGCGACAATGCTGCAAGACAAAGCTACACAGTGAATTGGCCTCGACAATGCTACAAGGCGAGGTTATAAGACAGAGTTACAACTCAATGCTTCAAGACAAAGTTACACAACAATGCTTCAAGACAAAGTTACACAACAATGCTGCAATAACAAGTTGCACAGCAATGCTGCCAGACAATATTTGACAACAATGTTCCAAGACAAAGACCGCAACACTGATTCAAGACAAAGTGCACAACAATGCTTCAAGACAAAGTGGACGACAATACATGAAGACAGTACCACAACAATGCTCCAAGACAAAGTGCACAACAATGCTTCAAGACAAAGTGGACGACAATACATGAAGACAGTAACACAACAATGCTTCAAGACAAAGTGGACGACAATACATGAAGACAGTAACACAACAATGCTCCAAGACAAAGTGGACGACAATACATGAAGACAGTAACACAACAATGCTCCAAGACAAAGTTACATCATCCGGAGAAGAAATGTTTACTGCTCCTCATGCTACACCTTTACCCTCCTTCACCGTATTTGTTTCTGTCTGTTTCAGGGAAGAGGCTAACATGTTGTGCAGGCTGGGAGAACAACGGCTTCATCTTCATCGTGGCCTCAGACGTGTCGGAGAAGCCTCGATACTGCCTGGTACGTTCACTGTCAAATTAGCATTAATTTGGCCTTAAAACTGCGATTGTTCTTTTTGAAAACTGACTGACTGACTGACTGAGTTTGGTTTTACGCCGCTTTTAGCAGTATTCCAGCAACATCACGGCGGGGGACACCAGAAATGGACTTCACACATTGTACCCATGTGGGGATTCGAACCCGGGTCTTTGGCGTGACGAGCCAACGCTTTAACCATTAGGCTACCCCACCGCCCCTGAAAAACTGAATTAGGCTGGAATCAACTATTATAATATTTATATATTTTGAAACGAGATGACATTTGTAAGATCACGAAGTTATCAGATATTAGCTGGATATTACAGTTGAAAGCTAATTAATACTGCATATATGTCAACTAAACATTTGTGATTCTCCAGTTCACATTTCTATTTGTCGGGAGTATGTAATATGTTAGTTATGTTGCAAAATGTAACAATTTAATTAATACCATAGTTCGCTCCTTTGATCACGCATGCCTCTTTGGTAATAAGGGCAGGTTACCCCTCACTCTGTCCATAGTCCTTAGATCCTTGAATGCCAATAATGGTGGGCATGCTCTGCAGTAGCTTCTTCCGTATTTACCACCTGTAAATGACATTTGAGGATAATTATTCGAAGCTTTAGAAACTTTAAAGTAAACAGTAAATATCAAACTAAGGAGATTATTCCAATCAAGAGGACGGTGTTGAGTATCTCCTTTCACACTTTTACTCCATTGCTTTGTAGCGGTTCCCCAAGAATCAGGATGGTGAGTTCTCGGTTCTCATCTACTTCAACGTCATTTGCCCAGAAGAACCAGATGGTAAACCTCCTCATGGAATAGAGTATTACGAAATGCGCATGCGCAGACGAGGTAGGAACTTTATTTTCTGGATATTTAATTCTGCTATAAATCGATGTATTTAACATACCTCAATATGACCCACAAGGGGATTTTTTAATGTAATCCTCAATGAGCAATATGAGTTTCGCTTCAGACTAATTGGCCAGCTCGTTCTAATGACGGTTTTCATTGTTTGCGAGCCCCATCAAATGACGTCAAATTCTCACAAACAATTAAACAAGACGCCATTCATTATAAACGACGTCACCAAGGCTCCGTCCTTATTTGGGAGAAATAACCCACAATTCCCCGTAGCACGTAGGTTGTCTCTCTAAATATTTCCGTTTACGATCATGCATGTAAGTGTTTGATAAAATCATGCGTCTTGTTATTGCATTGTGTGTTTCTTACAACATGATCTTAGTGGCTTGTTAATAGACACTTGCCTTTGTAATCGTTCCCTAATTTCTGTCCGTCGGTATACAACGTTTTAGGGTATAATGACTCAAGACCTCATAGGCCAAAGAAAACACATTAATAACAATCGTGTTCAGTTTACCTCGTAGTAACATGGTTGTTTGTTAACTGTGAAGCTCTCGGTGCCTCTATAAATGACCAGGGTGAACGATACTGATATACCATCTGATTACAACGTTTCTTTAAAACCACCCAACTTTTCCCATTCCACAACATCAAAAACGTATACTGGAGTAACATAGTTGAGTCTTCTGAAAGACTATTTCTCTTGGTTGATCAAGACATTATGTAAATGTTTCTACGGGCCTCGTTCAATCAGAGCTTCATTGTAAAGACTACGGCATATCGTGTTAGTACTGTCTCATACTGTGAGTTATGACATTGACATTTGATACGCTATCAAATGTAGGTCCTATGTTGACTTTGCGATGTCCTTGGCATTTTCTATTCTTTGCTAGCACGGTTCCCCTCCGATACATCTAAAACATGACAGTATTGTTCACACCATGTTAAAAACGATTTGTGAATGCTTAAAGGCACAATGTCACACATTTTCGACAATAGTTTGGCCTATATTATATATATTGGGCATATGCACTAACTTTAGCTTCCTATTGATGCAATAAACGACTTATTATCCCTTACGACTTGCCTGAGTTCGATAATGGAAACTTCGAGGTGAACAGCTTCCAAACAGAGAACACTTGCCATATATGGGGTGTAAACAATTGCTCTGTACATCGAAAACTCTCGCACGCGGTGTTGTCGGTGTTTGCCGAACTAGTTACAATCACAAGTTGTGCGTAGGATATTCGTAAAGAGCGCTCCAAGGGACATAACTCAATGGGGTTCGCTTGAAATAATGTTCGGCCGGTAGAGGGCTCGAGAGTCGATTTAATGCAATGTTGCATTGATTCATTCGAACTTTTTAATTTAATATTGTAATCAAGATATGTAATTTGTTTTTAATTAAGTATATGGTAGCTTCTCTAAGGGTTGATAGTTAGTATTATTGTGCGAAATGCATTATGTATTTTTGAGAAGTGTTGTGTGATATAGTGCCTTTAAGCGCAAATCTGGTTAACAGCCATCCTCTGCAGTTCTGGACCCTACCATTGTGTTTCCAGTCGCTATATTTAGTGGTTTGTGTGAAAAGGAAACATTTCTCTATGTTGTTTAGTAATTAGTTGCTGATACATTGATATACGTAATAACCCATTGTTTGAAGATACAGATTTGATCATGACTAGATAAACTTTCCATGAGCGCCATTTTCCAAGCCTCTATAACGGTCCTGACAAATTGACAGTCCGAGCAATTTTGATTCAAATCGTTCAACATTGCTGTGTCTATTTGCGGCATTATGTGATATTTGTCCATCTAATTGTTGATAACTGCCCCAATTACCCGTCTCACTTTCACACATATTAATTTATACAAAATGGACGCTAGAGTGTCTCTGTTGAAATATATGCAGCCGACAAATCTGGAAATCACGCTTTGATGATAAGTGTGTGTCATCCATGTTTAACTAAACGAATACACGTCCCGCCATCCGTGCAGTCGTGCCGTTTCACTTGGTGCAGTGTCGTCAGATTAATTGTTTTTAATGCACTGAATTTAGATTAATTATTGAAAAAATATTTTGAACCTTGTTATCAGCCCAGCTCTTATGGTACACACAAGAATTAATTGGTATCATTGCAACGTTTGTCTAGATCTGTTAGCAATGTTTATTGCTTAATAACGCCTTTGGCATAAGTGCCAATTATCTTTGTGGTCATAGGCGGCTCCCTCTGATGTGGTACTGTGATGAACGAGATGACAGGTGCGCGAATACTGAATACCATGATGTCGTGTTTCGTTCATTATCTTCAGGATATTTATCACCTGAAGAAGTGTATTATTGTAAATATTGTAATGTAGATTGATGTTCTGTAAACGTCATAAATGACACTGAATATATCCATCAGGGCTGTCTGTGATGGTTATCTACTGAACAAAGTGTTGAGTATAAAGGATAGGTTGGGGAGATTTATACAAGGTAATTGCGGACATAAAGGACAGGTTTACTTGGGTTATACAAAACCATTGCTATCAATACATTCGGCAGAATGTCTGTATGTACATATATGCTCGAGGAATCGATGGAAGAATCAACATTAATAAATCACATTGCTGACAAATTATAGCAAGTCTGGCTGTATGTATTCTAGATGGCTCAGTAACGCGGCGATTAATTTTAGGAGAGAGCACGGTCAAAATACAGGCAGCGTGCACAGTTGACTGACCCATTATCGCATTTTCACTTCCATTTTTCGTTCCAGAGTGCGTCTGTAAATTCTCTCTCACACGCAATTCGTGAGTGTGGTTGTCAGTTTGTCAGTTTGTCGTTTAACGCTGCGCTCAGCAATTTTGTGGCTATATGACAGCAGTCTGTTAATAATCGGGTCCGTACCAGACAATCCAGTGACTGAGTAAATGGAATGCGATGACATGTCAAAGAGTGAGTGATTATGATTTAACGCCTCTTTCAGCAATATTCCAGCAATATCGCGGCGGGGGACACCAGAAATGGGCTTCACACATTGTACCCATGTGGGGAATCGAACCCGGGCCTTGCGAACGAGCGAACGCTTTAACCAATAGGCTACCCTACCGCGCCACTCATGTCAAAGAGCCTAACCACCGTTACACGCCCATTACTGCATATAAATGAAAAGCGAATTTATCACTCTGTGGTGGGTATGACATTCTCTTCCCCCAGAAGTTACTCAAATCCTATCTTGCGTACGTGGAAAGATATTACTTGAGTAACATCTGTGGGGAGAGAATGTGGGTTTGAGTGAAGAGAGACTTAAACCCTCCGTCAGTGTCAGTAAAACAGGTGCCCGCTGTAGACGTCATCCACCAGACCATGATTATTACATAACGTATATTACAGATCCGAACCGGTGTGAGGACGATGACGACCGGAAGTGCCGCGAACTGCTCGCTACAGGTGTGTGTGGGAAGGACATCAACATCAGTCAGCACTGCAAGAAGACGTGCCAGATGTGTCGTAAGTATGGTCCGAGTCTCTCTACTATGTGACTGTGTCTACTATGTGACTGTGTGTTAGTTAAGACTTTGACTTTGGCGTCAGTTTAGGCTCTATCATGCAGTTGCATCTCCAGTCACGTGACCAGAAGCACTATCTCCACAGATGTAACTCTTACGTCGTGTGATCTTGATCTCATACTATTATTCACAGATTATGTTTCACGTCTTCTCGGTTTTGTCTTGGTTAAGAATGTTTCTTTAGCCTTCTAGTGCTTGCTTCTGATACTGCCGACTTGGAGATCATGTCACCGGAAGTACAGACTACATCCACCAGTTTAACTCTCTGGACATGTAACCTCACACTGTAATAGATGAATTGTTTATCTTTCTGATACCCTGGGCTCTTCATAGAGGGAAGAGCATTGAGGAATAGTGGATCTATGGACGTATGTGGACTAAACATGCCTAACCCCCTTGCACTGGGTTGTAGTCAGATCTAGGTTCTTGTTGCTGATTCTCCTTTCATCATTGGTATCTTGTAGGAGACAGATCTAGGTTCTTGGCTTGCTGATTCTCCTTTCATCATTGGGACTATCTTGTAAACTCAGTCAGTTAGCTGTAGGAGACATGATTTTTCTAAGAAGCGCCTTTCTATCAGTCGTCTATTTAATTAAATGCTTTTTAATTGAAATGAGTACAGACGTGGGTAACTAGCGAGTAACGTAGTAGTCTGTACTTGAAAAAATTGAAAGGAAGGTATAATCCATGCTGCTGTTGTTGTTGCTGGACACGACGTTAATGGTTAACATCGTCCAAATGGGGATGTAGTGGAAGAGGATATCTCCCGGCACCCGTTGATGCTTCTGCTCCCATAGTTCGGGAACACTGAGCGTACATTTTCAATAAATAATGTTGACGTGTCATGTTGTGATAATTGCATTAGATATTATTACTTGCCAAAACACAATTATCCCTTCACGAACAAATTAAACCACAAATACTCTCACATAGACCCCACCACTTTACAAGTCCTCATCATGATACAATCCGATAATATTTTGTAAGTGAGTGAGTGAGTATGATTTTGCGCCTCTTTTAGCAATATTCCAGCAACATCACGGCGGGGATACCAGAAATGGGCTTCACACATTGTACCCATGTGGGGAATCGAACCCGGGCCTTTGGTGTGACGAGCGAACGCTTTAACCACTAGGCTACCGCCCCCGTTAATTTATAGTGGTGTGTAGTGTTGGGATGTTCTATGACATTGTACCCACTTGTTCACCCATTATTAACAGATATATTGTAAAGTATTTATACTTATCAAAGCTTGCAATGTTGAAGACGCGGTTCTAACGGTAAATTAATACTTAAAGTAACTAGCGATATAACGACAACCAATGATACTTCGACCAAGCAAACGGATGACCGAAGCCAACCCGCAAGGACAATGAGTCAAGTCATTGAGACAGGCCACCCTATCCTATTTAGTCCCATCCTACTCCAGCGTGGAGCTCTGGAGGACCCATTCTCACTCTAATGGCTGGTCTGGTTTGTACTTTTGTGTTTCAATAACTTTGCGATAATTCTTCTCAATTCTCATTCTTCATTCCAAATTGTATTAGTGTTGAGAATGTTCTCCTCCGGCGTTCGTACAGCCATCTTAAGCTGATAACTATCCTCTTTGACTATTCTCTTGAACATTCAACTTCAGTTGTTGCACATACTATATGTGTTACTCTGTAACAGTTCAGTTCTGTGTTATGGAATCAATAATATTCGTTTTGAAGAATATTGAACGCATCCACATTTCTACTGAAGACTGACAAAGATCCACTGTACCATGTCGAAAAGCAACAACCAGACAACCATCATGCTAGATATATTATAATAACCGTTAATAATAACCCGATAAACAATGGTCCACACGCAGCGAACACGGGGGCAGGATTTTAACCCAGCCCTACCACACCAGGGGTCCAGACCCGTCCAGAGGCCTCCAATTTTCGAGGGTCCTTACCGGAAAATGAGGGTAACGTAATGGGTCACTGAGTGATTGAGTTGAGTTTTACCCCGCTTTTAGCAATATTCCAGCAATATCACGGCGAGGGACACCAGAAATGGGCTTCACACATTGCACCCATGTGGGGAATCGAGCACGGGTCTTAGGCGTGACGAGCGAACGCTTTAACCACTAGACTACCCCACGTAGAAAGTGGTTAAAGTAATGAAGTTGTGTAGTACTGTTCATAAGATTACGTTTATAACAGGAACTACACGTGTCGAGGATATGGGACAGTGTATAATAATGTGCGTCACTCGGGACGAAAAGTGTCATTTTTTCTCGTTAATGTCTATACATCTGTGCACATAGTGTTGCGTCGCGTTAAGCCCCGCGGAGGCCATTACGTAAGGACATCTGTGTCCACAGGAAAAAAACAGTTTGTTTGTAGTTTGAAAGGCCAAGTCTACATACATGCTCCCACGACGTTTAGAACTAAATGATTCATATCGAAAAGAGTGTTTTCATTCACCTGGAAAGGAAGAACGATGCCAGCTGCTGCACGACTGTTGAAAGAGCTAAATGAATACTATTACAAACACATTAGAAGACTGTAGAGTTCTGTCAGACGTTGGAACTGTTGGAAACGAGGTGTTTAATACATAATGACGAAGGAGCAAATATGTGGTCAGGGGAGAGATTCATGGGGATTGTGATTATCCTTGCTAGATGACAGCGGAATGTCTATATTTTCATCCTACCGACGTCGACCGAATTGCGACTTCTACGTGGCTGATTACTCTATTACCGGACGCCTCTGAAGAAAGTTCCATACACGTGCTAAGCCTGGCGTTTGCTGGGTACAAAGTGGACGTAGTGGTTGCTGGCGACGTGGGCTTCATTACGTAGATGGAGGCGTCTCGCGTGGGGAAGAATGGCGGGGTTGATGCTTGATCCTTGGGCGTGATGCTTCTATAGGATGGGAGAGGGGCCGAGATTGCCGCTGATCGCCCGGATACGACCAACACACGCCTATCCTCACATCCCGGATCAACCACGAGAAAACACGCGTGAGAACGTGACCTCAGCGCCGTCTACCGGCATGTTTCGCTCTTCGATGGAAACTGTTTACAAGCCCGTATTAGATTGAAGGCGACTGTTTAATCATCTAAGTACCTCCCTTATACAATGCTGGCGAGGACTGAAAGGGTAAAAATGGATGTTTCGCAATTTAAAACGTTTCCTGATTAGAAATGGAGCCTTGATTTTATTCCATGTTATGACGTCAGCCGTCGGTTGTCGTAATCTGCCATTGTACATTGCAAGTTAATAAAACATCTTATTGCAGATTGAAGATTTGTATTTGAAGCCCGTTCTTCATATCAAATGAGGAAGAGATTTGTGTAAGGGGACATTAAACCATAGCCACTTAATGTAATCTCCTCCCAGGTCACAGGTCATCCGTCTCAACGCCAACATGTCATATCCACTCGGAACATATTGACGTCAGCACAAAAGCAGCTGACTTTCAAATCCAGTGACAAGTTACCACAAAGTCAACTTAAAGTGCCGTGCTGGCCATATGATTGTCTGTGACGCTGACGATCAATAGTGACAACACTTCAACAGCGGATTCGCATGATTAAACTCACTTTATGCAAACTTGCAGTTTTGTCTTTGTGCCAAGAAGTTGCCAAGTCTGAGTATGATATCTTCTTCTATCAATTCGCACGTACTCGGCAGTGGGGATCTGTAACCCAACCATCTTCCTCACAAGCTTTCAAATATATTTGGAATCAATTAAAGAAGTTATACTTTGGACGGAAGAAAGAACGTGACGATTCTCGTCGCTGACCAGAACAGAGGAGACGACGCTCTGTAGACATGGCTATAGAAGTGTTTCTGTTGTAGCTCCCTGCGGTAGTCCATAATTGAAAAATTGAAATGAGAAGGTATAATCCATGCTGTTGTTGTTGTTGCTGGACACGACGTTAATGGTTAACATCGTCCAAATGGGGATGTAGTGGAAGAGGATATCTCCCGCCACCCGTTGATGCCTCTGCTCCCATAGTTCGGGAACACTGAGCATAAATTTTCAATAAATAATGTTGACGTGTCATGTTGTGATAATTGCATTTGTCAAAGGATATTATTACTTGCCAAAACACAATTATCCCTTCACGAACATATTAAACGACAAATACTCTCACATAGACCCCCACCACTTTAAAAGTCCTCATCATGAGACCCCCGACCACGTTAGGGATTCACAACGTAACAACGTAACAGACCCACCACCAGTTACGGACACGCAGTCCCATTACAGACCCACACTCACGTTACATATTACATTACAGACCCACCATCACGTTACAGATTACATTACAGACATATCATCACGACGCAGACAATCCATCACGTCACAGACCCACCATCACGTCATAGACCCACCATCACGTCACAGACCCACCATCACGACGCAGACCCTCCATCACGTTACAGACCTCCTATCACGTCACAGACCCACCATCACGTCACAGACCCTCCATCACGACGCAGACCTTCTATCACGTTACAGACCCTCCATCACGTTACAGACCTATCACGTCACAGACCCTCAATCACATTACAGATCCTCTATCACGTTACAGACCTTCTATCACGTTACAGACCCTCCATCACGTCACAGACCCTCCATCACGTCACAGACCCTCCATCACATTACAGATCCTCTATCACGTTACAGACCTTCCATCACGTTACAGACCCTCCATCACGTTACAGACCCTCCATCACGTCACAGACCCACCATCACGTCACAGACCCTCCATCACGACGCAGACTCTCCATCACGTTACAGAACCACCATCACGCCACATACCCACCATCACGTTACATACCCACCATCACGTCACCACGTTACAGACCCATCATCAAGTCATCAGACCCACCATGACGACGCAGACAATCCATCACGTCACAGACCCACCATCACGTCACAGACCCACCATGACGAC